CCTAGAATATTCTTAGAAGACCCTATAAGAGCTATTCGTTAGGTGTACAGACAATATAGGCTTTGGAATAGACACTCATACAGGGCTTCTTAGACCAAAGGGATAATATTTGGATTTTTTGGGCCGGAAGCTCCTGTACAAAATGACCCAAAAGTGATTTCAATGCTTCCTACAGGTCTTAGACGAAATATTATGGTTTGAAAATGGTGTGCAAAGTAATAGATATAGAGATATTGCGCCAAAACTGCCAAATGCTTCTTGAATGTCACCGATTTTGCGCATGAATTTATATTGCTTATGCAATTCGTAATGATGCATCCAACATGCGAGATAGGCATGTCGGGCTGACCATAAGGCCCCGAACTATCACTTAGAAAATCCTATCAGATCTAACCGTTAGGCGCACAAAAGATATCGGCTCTAGAACAGGCCTGTAAATAGGACTTCTTAGACCAAATGTATACCTTTGGATTTTTAGGCCCAGAAGCTCTGACACGATATGACCCAAAAATGATTTTAATGCTTCCTACATATCTTAGACAAAATATTATGGTCTCAAAATGGCGTGCCAAGCAACAAACAAAGAGATATTGAGCAAAATTGCTGAATGGATATAGAGTGACACCGATTTTGTGCATGAATTTATATTGCGTATACAATTTTTAATGACGGATCAAGCAAGCGAGATAGGCACGTCAGGCTGACCATAAGACCTAAAAATATCACATAGAGATCCTATAAGAGCTATTTGTCAAACATACAGATGATTCAGCTTCGGAACAGGCCTTTATGTAGGGCTACTTCGACCAAAAGGGTACCCTTTTGGATATTGAGGCCCAAAAGCTCTGGCATGGAACGACCAGAGCTTAATTTAAATGCTTCCTATAGGTCAATAGTTGAAATATTATGGTTTCAAAATGGCATGTGAAGCAACAGACAGAGAGATATTGGGCAAAAACTCTCGAATGCTTTAAGAGTGGCACAGATTTTGTACATAAATTTATATTGCTTATGTAATTCTTAATGACGCATTGAGCAATCGAGACAGGTATGTTGGTCTGACCAAGAGATCCAAAACTATCGCCTAGAAGACCCTATATGAGCTGCTCGTCAAACATACAAAACATATTAACTTTAGAAAAGGCCTTAAATTTAGGGCTTTTTCGACCAAAAGGGTATACCTTTGGATTTTTAGGCTCGGAAGCTTCAACATGAAATGACCCGAGCTTGATTTTAATGCTTCTTATAAGCTAGTAGATAAAATATTATGGTCTCAAAATGGTATGTGAAGCAACAAATAGAGAAATATTAAGCAAAAGATGTCGAGTGCTTCCGTAGCGACACGGATTTTGGACATGAATTTATATTGTGTATGCTATTCTTAATGACGCATCGAGCAGGCAAGATAGGCATCTTGGGCTGACCATAAGACCCAAAAATATCACCTAAAAGACTATATATGGGCCACCCATTAGGCCTAATGAAGATATCGGCTCTAGAATTGGCCTTCATACAGGGCTTCTTAGACCAAAGGGGTATATCTTTGGATTTTTGGACCCGAAAGCTCCGACAGGGAATGGCCCGAGCTTAATTTTAATGCTTCCTATACGTCAATAGAAGAAATAATGTGGTTTCAAAATGGCATGTGAAGCAACAGACATAGAGATATTGGGCTAAAACTGTTGAATGCTTCCGAAGTAGCACGAATTTTGTGCATGAATTTATGTTGCGTATATTATTCTTAATGATGCATCGACAGACGAGATAGGCACGTCAGGCTTATCAGGAGACCCAAAACTATCATTCTAGAAGATCCTATAAGAGCTACCCGTCAGACGTACAAAAGATATCGGCTCCAGAACAACATTCTTATATAGCTTCTTTGACCAAAGGAGTATACCTTTGGATTTTTAGGCCAAAAAGTTCTGGCTTGGAATGGCCCGAGCTTGATTTTAATGCTTCCTAAAAGCTAATAGATGAAATATTATGGACTCAAAATGGCATGCGAAGCAACAAACAAAGAGATATTGGGTAAAAACTGTTGAATGCTTATAGAGTGGCACATATTTTGCGAATGAAATTATATTGCTTATTCAATTCTTAATGACGCATCGAGCAAGCGAGATATGCATGTCGGGCTGACAATGATACCTCAAGCTATTGCTAAGAAGACCCTATACAAGCTATCCATCAGACGTATCAAAGATATCGGCTCCAAAATAGGCCTTCATACAGGACTTCTTAAATAGAAGGGGTGTACCTTTCGATTTTTAGGCCTGGAAACTCTAGCATGGAATGGCCCGAGCTTGGTTTTAATGCTTCCTATAGGTAAATAGATGAAATATTATGGTCTCAAAATGGCGTGCAGAGCAACAGATAGAGAGATATTTGGCAAAAACTATCGAGTGCTTTTGGAGTGGGACGGATTTGCGCATGAGTTTATATTGCATATGATATTCTTAACGACGCAACGAGCAGGTGAGATAGGCTTGTCAAACTGACCAATAGACCCAAAACTATCACATAGATGACCCTATACGAGCTGCTCCTGAGACGTACAGAAGATATCGGCTCCAGAACACGTCTTCATACAGGGCTTCTTAGAGCAAAAGGATATAACTTTGGATTTTTAGGCCTAGAAGCTCCAATATGGAATGGCCCAAGCTTGATTTCAATGCTTCCTTTAGGTCAATAAATGAAATATTATGGTCTCAAAATGGCATGCGAAGCAACAAACATAGAGATATTGGGTCAAAATTGTCGAATGCTTCTGGAGCGGCACGAATTTTGCATATGAATTTATATTGCATTTGCTATTATTAATGACGCATCGAGCAGGCGAGATAGGCACGTTGAGCTAACCGTGAGACCCAAAACTATCGCTTATAAAACCCTATATGAGTGCTTATCAGACGTACATAAGATATCAGCTCCGGAATAGGCCTTCAAAAAGGGCTTCTTAGACCAAAGGGGTATACCTTTGGAATTTTGGGCCAAAAAGATCCAGCATGGCATGGCCCGAGCTTTATTTTAATGTTTGCTATAGGTTAATAGATGAAATATTATTGTTCAGAATGGCGTGCCAAGTAATAGATTGGGCAAAAACTGTGGAATGCTTCTAAAGTAGCACGAATTTTGCACATGAATTTATATTGCATATGTAACTCTTAATAACGCATCGAGCAGGCAGGATATGCATGTCAGGTTGACCACGAGACCTAAAAATATTGCTTGAAAGACCCTATACAAGCTGCCCGTGAGACGTACATAAGATATCGGCTTCGGAATAGGCCTTCATACAGGGCTTCATAGACCAAAGGGGTATACCTTTGGATTTTTGGACCTGGAAGCTTCTACATGGAATGGTCTGAGGTTTATTTCAATGCTTCCTAATGGTCAATGGAAAATATATTATGGTCTCAAAATGGCATGCCAAGCAATAGACAGAAAGATATTGGGCGAAAACTACCAAATACTTCTAGAGTGGCACAAATTTTACACATCAATTTATATTGCATATGCAATTCTGAATGGCGCATCGAGCAGGCAACATATGCATGTTGGGATGAGAATGAGACCCACGATTAACACCAAGAAGACCCTACACAAGCTGTACGTTAGACATATAGAAGATATCGGCTCTGAGACAGACCTTCATATAGGGCTTCTTAGACCAAAGGGGTATACCTTTGGGCCCAGAAGCTCCCGCATGAAATGGCTCGATCTTAATTTAATGCTTCCTATAGGTTGATAGATGAAATATTGTGGTCTCAAAATGGCGTGTCAAGCAACAAACTAAGAGATATTGGGCCAAAACTATTAAATGCTTCTGGAGTAGCATGAATTTTGCGGATGAATTTATATTGCATATACAATTCTAAATGATGCGTCAAGCAAGAGAGATAGGCATGTCGGGCTTATCAGGAGACCAAAACTATCGCCTCGAAGACCCTATACGAGTTGCCCATTAGACATACAGAAGATATTGGCTCCGGAATAAGCCTTCATACGGGGCTTCTTAGACCAAAGGGGTATACCTTTGGATTTCTAAAACTCCGACATGGAATGACCCGAGCTTGATTTCAATGTTTTATACAGGTCAATAGATGAAATATTGTGGTCCTAAAATGGTGTGTCAAGCAACAAATAAACAGATATTGGGCAAAAACTGTCAAATGCTTGGAGTGGCACGAATTTTGTGCATGAATTTATATTGCGTATGCTATGCTTAATGACACATCGAGCATAAGAGATAAGCATGTCGAGCTGACCTCGAGACTCTAATCTATCACCTAGAAGACCATATATGAGCTGTCCATCAGACGTGCAGAAGATATCGATTCCGAACAGGCCTTTATACATGACTTTTTAGACCAAAGGGGTATACCTTTGAATTTTTGCCCGGAAGCTCCAGCATGAAATGATCCGAGCTTGATGCTTTCTACAGGTCAATGGATGAAATATTGTGGTATCAAAATGACGTGCAAAGCAACACATAGATGAAATATATTTGCTCAGAATGATTTTGGTTAGCTACGACCTAATATCTCTCTCAAAAGCTTTACATTCCATATTGGAACTCCAATATGTAATCCATTGACCTTCATATGCAATAGTATCAAGTTCGTATCATTTCATACTAGAACTTCCGAGGACATAACCTCAAAAGTATCCCTTTTACATTTGTAGCCATAATCTTCGGCATGGAATGGCCAGAACTTATCATTACTTTCTAGAGTTCACCGGATAATTGGAGTCTCAATCCGAAAGGCAAGGGTTTATAGAGAAAGATGTTAGGTTGATCTCAAATCCAAATCCAAAAACCATAAACCTCAAACCTCGTAATCACTAAAAAATAAAACTGACATCTTATCGTACAACTTTATTGCTTGTTTGTAAATAATAAGCCATTAAATAGGGTGGGTGCAAACTTGTCCTTTGGATAAGTTAGCTACACAAAATATATATGAATATATACACGACTGCCACAAGTTCAAATCTTGTAAACCCAGAAAGAATCAATATCTTATTTCAGAAATGAAAAACCATCTCAATCTATCAATCATAGGACACTGGAATATGAGTTATATATGGATAAGAATACAGTATTTCAATGTATAAAAAGAATGTTTCGGTTGATAGTCAAATGATTTGTACTTATCCCTTGAATGTTTTTTCGGTATTCTTATATTGATTACAATCAACTTGCATACAAAAGCCATGAAGAAGATTCTGAAAGAATTGCTTCAATCAGATCAAGCGAGCAGCGTCACCTCCTTCGCATATCATTACATCTGAGTTCGGGTTGATTTGAGCAGCCAATTCAGGCTGAGCCTTTTGATATTCTTCCCTAACAAAAGAAGCAGCTTCTGCTGCTAAGTCAGCATCAACAAATGCAATACAACATCCCCTAAATCCAGCACCACTAAACCGTGCACCAAATACGCCAGGAGCCCTCAGAAGAATCTTGTATAGTTGGATCAAGGGCTCGCAACCTAAACAATCACCATATCGGAGATAGTAATACATCAGTAAGAAAACAATTGCAATTAAGGGTTAAGAAAACAAGAATTCAACTTGGAAACAACTCTAGCTGAGGTATTAAGACAAGATATCATCTGCTAAATATATTGAAGAGAATAGGAGAAAATTTAAACAGAATGGAATTTCAAGGTAGAACTGGTACCTAAGATTTATTTAGGCCAGTGAAAAACTTTTCTAAGGATTCCACACTAGCATATGCATAACTGACATAAATTCTTACAGCGCACTTCTTATTTTTAGGTTCATATATTTCAAGTCCTATCAAGCAACCTCAATGGATTTTATATCTAGCTCTAGGGAACATGGAAATCAAATTTAATATTGTTAATCATTCCATAAATACGCAACTATTTTGTTATATTAAGCAAAAGCTATCCGATCAATTTGAAATTTAACACTTTTGGCTTAGATAATAGATTATTAAATACAAGAGTTGGTCTCACAGAAGTCTTGCACAATGTTATTAAAGTAGTTGAAAATACCATGTCACAAAAACATAGACATGGGCAAAAGTGGATGCCCCACAAAAGGTTATTACAAAATGTGAATCAGCATATAACAGAGACCCTCAAGCTGTGTATGACAAGGAGACAATTTAAAAGGAATTGTCAGAAGAAAAATGAAAGATACAAATAAGAATCTTGATTATATGTAAAAAAACATGAAAAGTGGTTTCATAACCTATTATAAAAAGAAATTGAGAAACCAAATGATCTTGGAACACAGTTTCGAGCTTCAATTGTAAACAGAATCAGTTTAACCAAGTAAGCTCTAAATACCAAATTGATCAATGACGTCAAGAATGCAAAACAAAGTTGAAAATAAAGGTTACAAAAACGATAAAAAACAAATAGCAGTATGCTCATAAATGGACATAAAACCTAAGAAAATATCGGTTATCAAGAATGTAGTCTTATTGGTGATAACTAATAATATTTTGATAGGATCATTGCAGTTATTTGTTTCAAAATCAGTGGGATTAACCTATCCATCAAAGAAGCCAGATGTAACATTTGTAACACTAAAAAAAGCAACTCCAGCCTAAGCAGGCAGCCCTAACGTTACTCTGAACTATGCCAGTAGCTCTCTTGACCCTCAAAAGCAGGGAACTTTGCACACTAGGATATTCTTTTATATAGATATCTACTAAAGAGAGGGTTAAGTCAGGTTGGGGCACAGTGATGATAACTATAACTAAAAATTATCACTCTATACCACATTCATAGTTCTGAATAGAACTTAAACCAGAGGCTGAAATGAGCTTCCCAAATTCTTCTAAGTTGCCAGAAGCCCAAGCTTCAAGTCCTGAAATATTGTTGTAACAGAAAGCTGTAAGCTGATGTGCATAAAAGCATTTGGATATAAAAGTGATGGGGAAAAATGAATAAATAGTTTGCCAAAGAATTTATGAAAACATTTCAACAAAGTAATGCCTTTCATAACCCGTGCATTTTCCGAGAAATAATGTCCTGCTCTTTTGGCTAGTATGGGTTCTAACTTTCCCTGCAGATGCAAGGAAACATAGAAACACAAACAAATTATAAAATATAAATGTAATTAATCAATTTAAGTTCACAACTCAATTCTTAGCTTCATGTTTGCATCAACAACTAGAGTTTTATGTTCAGCTGTGGAGCTTGTTTTGTATAAAAAAAAAAATCATAACAATTTCATAGAATTCATTTACAAATTCAAATTTTCATGTTTAGTATAAATAAAATTCATTTGAAATTCCACATTTTAGTTCTATGGAATTGGTTATGCTTGGACCAAATTCTATCAAAGTTGATAAACTGCGAATGAATTCTAACTTTAAAAGGAGTACAAGCTAGTAAAGCTGCATATTTAGGATGAACTTTATGGGTGATCCAAACATGAAATTTGATTTGAAATTAAATGAATTCCACATGGATTTATTTTAAACACCAAGTTAATACATTTTAATTTTCCAAAAACACAAACATTTCCAAATCTATAAATATGTTGGAAAAACAGCATAAACTAATTTTTCATTCCTATAGAATCCCATAAGTTCTCTACATTCTTCTTAATTGAATATTATGATATGCATATATATTTTTACTTTCAGAACATGGCCACCCTCTTAGCACAATCACCACAACTGCACCACCACTGATAACACTAGCAACATCTCAGATCCATTTACCATGACACAACAACCATAAACATTCTGCTAAGAATATAATAAAAGCAGTTGCTACTGTTTCTATCTCCAGATTTTTTGGTTGATGAGGTTGAGACTTAATGCAAAAATACCTAATTATAAGGTCCATTCATGACATCATAAGTATACAAATATGTTCATATGCATTAGGAATTTTGTCCCACAGAAAATTCCAGTCCTGTATCTTAAAATTGATAAGCATCCAACAACTTTCATCCAGTTCATCTTGGAAACTAACTGATCTTATAATACTGCCAAGATTTTCAGGTACCTCCACAACATAGTGTACTCCTTTTTAGTACGATTTTAATATAACCTTAGTGATATATTCTCTAAAAGCATGAAGATTATAATCACCCAGTTGGCTGTTTGAGGTTGTGTATACATATGCCGTTCTCTAATGTACTTTGCAAGCCAAAAGTGCTTCAAACTTTCATATCAGTTTTTGCAGCTTCTATATATCAGAAATTGCTGTGCTTTGGGCTTAGTGGGACCCCTCCTAATGTTGGTCTAAGACCTAAAGCTATTTAAGTAACCATTTGGTATTGTTTTTATGTTGATAAACATAATATATCCATCTAGGATCATATACTGCCATGTAGGAGTACAAATATTGAGATGATAAAAAAATCAAACAAAAATGTAATTCAATTACCTTGTACATTTCGTATGCTTCTGGTTCAACTGTTTAAACAAAATAAGAGGGTCAGACAATACTTATGATTGATATAAAGAAAGAATAATGAAATTAAAGAGAAGAAAATTCAGATGCTGACCATTGCATAGGAAAGGCTCCATCTTGTCATTGCCAGAAGCTCTTGCAAATTCATCATACAAAATTTAATTCTACATGTTACTAAAAGAAGTTGAAAAAAAAAAAAAAAAAAAAAAAAAAAAATTAAAGAGAAGAAAATTCAGATGCTGACCATTGCCATTAGGAAAGCTCCATCTTGTCATTGCCAGAAGCTCTTGCAAATTATCATACAAAAATTCTAATTCTACTGTTACTTAAAAGAAGTTTGGAAAAAAAAAAAAAAAAAAAAAAAAGCAAAAACCAGAACTCCATGTTTTACAAAAAAAAAAAAAAAAAAAAAAAAAAAAAGCAAAAACCAGAACTCATGTTTTACAAAATTAGGATAATATACTAGGGGAAAAAAAAGAAAAGAGAAGAACTTCATCAGCAAATTGATATTAGACCATGTTAATCATGCTTTGACATTCAGTTATTCAAGAAAGTTGTAGCAAAGACTAATGAGGAAATGCCATGTCAACTTGATTTGAATAACCAATACCATTTGTTTTCCTTCTATTAGATGTTGTATGCAAGTAGAAAGGATCCAGCTCTCTGACAGAATACTAAATAATACCATATCCAGTTTCCTTCTCATTCCTCCTCTCAGATGATTGGTCAAGTTTGCAACACAAACATATCCATTGTAATAATGTACCGAATCATCAAGGTTAAAGAACAAGATATGGTCTCTAACCTAAAGCATAATCATACTTATGGTTTCATGGCTAGTCAAAAACCCCAATGCTATAAATGTTCTCCATTGTGTTTGAAATAAAATGCATGTGTTATAAGTATGACTCAACTCTTTATTTCTTATGCGCTTCACTCTTAAGCTTATCCTTCACCTTTTGGCGTGAGAAGCCCACATGAGGCATCAATCAAAGCAGATAAATAAATCCTTTGAAGTTGCATGATTTTACCTCATCCAACCTCCACGCAATCTATTCTTTATATTGAAATAATCTCAAAACTTTCAGCCTGTCCAAGACTAACCTTTTGACATTAACAATGCAACAAACTAGATGCAGCCATTGACAGATGCCAAGATTTGAAAGAGATAAATGGCGAATTAGGACTTAGTATATGGGTCAACTCTTCCTTCTATAATAATTTGAAGAGAAGAATAAAATCACAGCACAGGAAAGCTTATCATAAAGGAAAACCAAGATTCTTATCTCAACCCAATACTTAACCATCAAGCAGGAAATAGAAAAATCAACCATAACCACGTTATTACATGAATAGAAAATGCAAACCCAAGGCTGGCATAACGATAGCACTTAGCAGCTTGCAGCTTCTCTGCTTATACATGCACTCCAGATAATTTGTTCCTTTCAGGCTAACTCTCTATTGAAAGCACAGTCTACTCAGTATTCGCCTCTTTCATGATATGCAGGATGTGTGATTTGAGCATCCTAAATCATCCTCATAAAATTTGTTGCATGTAAATCTTAAATCTTGTGTGATAGACCTCACCCAAATCATCTCATGCTTCATACACTGTGGTTTTTGTATTTGGCTCCAGCACTTTATCTTGTCATGACATGTTGCTTATTTTTTGTCCATGTAACAAGATCACCTTAACTAAAGTGCAACTAGAAATTGAGAACCTCAATCTGTGATTAGAATCAAGAAGACTAAATTCTCCAGAATCCAATTGAGCTACCAAACCAGATTTACAATTAAAACAACTCAATTAGCACAAGATTAATGTTTTATAATTTGATGTGTCTACTAAAGAATTTTCTTGGACATACTACACCACAAGATCTTCTTAGTCTTAGCACTCGTTACAACTCAAATTCGGTTGTGATAACCATCATTTTCAAATGTTTCAAAATAAGACGTCGCAAGCATGTTAGACATTGCAAATTGTAGAAACAATAAAAAAATATCTATAGGCCATTTAATTCTTATTGAGGGAAAACAATCATACTTTAGTAGAAATGTCGCAGCTTCTTGACACTCTGCAACCCGACGATTATACCCAGGGTTATTGGTCAAAGCATTTCTAAGGCCTGAGAATGCCACTAGTATTTTGAATGATTTCTGCAACTTCGTTGGGCATATAAGCTTGTGTTCTTTAGTCTACAAATGCAAAACTAGACTCATAAGAAACCATAAAAGATAAAAAAAAAATAATAATAAAATAAAACACCTGTATTTTCATTAACAAGCAACTGGAAGTACATTTTAATCAACGAATCAGTTAAATGAGAAAATGATATTAAACTATAATACATAGCATAGCAAAACCTATAAAAATATATTGTTGCAAAAAAAAAAACATACATGTAAAATAAAGGGTCAAAAGGCCCAATTCAACCATATACCATCCATAGAAAATAAAATATATATCACCTTGCATTCATTCAAATCCCTTCAACTATTACAAATGTAATTATCAAGTCCAGTAGGCAACATCATAATTAGGACTTCAATTCTTGTCTGTGCTGTCATGATGTGATGTTATGTTAAAAGATTGAACTCATGGATGTTGGCATGGCTTACCATCCCTATGATGTAATCTGAATCCCTCTCTCTACTTGAAAATAAATAAATAAATAAAATAAAATAAAATATTGTCCTAGAAGAGACTTGAGAGAGAAACCCAGTATTATGCAAACCAATTATCGACATGTTTGCTTGTTTTATGTAATAACATTTTGGCCCTCTCCCTTAGAAAATTAAATACGTTGATGCTTCACTTTGTGAAATGCAATATTTTAGTTTTAATTGGCTAAGTATGTCAAGGGATGGCAAAGTGTTGGTTCAAAACAAATGTGATGGGGTATTATTTAGGAAAGACAAAATTAAACATTTCTATTTCTATTTATTTCTTAGTAATATCCAGAGCATTGATATTACTTCCTACCACACTCGAACACACATCAAGAATTTAACATTTATGCGTCAGTTTGGTCTATAAACTGACTAAAGTATCAAACTGTTTTTAAAAAACTCAAGAAGCAAAGTGTATTAAACCAAACCTCAAAGGACTTTTGTAAATAAACTATTTATTATGCAGCACAAATCCATGGCTTCCTATAAATAAGAAATAAGATCCAGTCCAAGGGTCATAAGAGAATTACAATTGAATATGGTAGCTAATTTTTTCACCTTAGTGACACTAGACTAGAAAAATGTTATGGAAGCAGTATGCTGGCATGGAATTATGTGATACTTGAGCTACAAAAAACTGATAAAGCAAACTAAGCAAATTTAATTAACATTAGATCTTAGTGAACAGCATGTTTCTTGAGCACTTATTATTGGCACATCCAGTCAATACCTTGCAGTTCATACACATTAGGCAACCATGGCTTGAAAGCAATATTGCTGACTGATCCAGTATGCCATTTCTCAGGCCAAAATATTCATTTTCAATCAGCCTGCATGTGCAGAAAGCTAGTTTTTAGAAAGGCCAAATATTTTAAGACACATAGGAAAACAAGATACCAAAAAAATATCTTAGCTAAGAAACTAATTAGCATGAATCAGGCAGCAAAAATTCTTCACAGGGGATACAAAGTATAAATGCAATTAAGAATACATATGTGAGAATAATGAGAGGGGATTCAAAGTTGTTTCTCATAACTATAAGACTACATTAAGGATCTGCCTTTAAGCCATACTTGTTTACCCTACTTATAGATGAGCTAACTACTGTAGAAGATAATGTTCCATGCTGCATGTTATTCATAGGTGATATTGTCTTAGTCAATGAAACTAACGATGGAGCAAACCAAAAGTTAAAATTATGGATAAGCACTCTTGAGAATAAGAGTTTCAGGTTAAGCAAAAGTATGATAGAATGCATGCATTAGGAATCTAGCGCCCTCCCCCCGGTTAAGCAAAAGTATGATTAGAATTGCACATGGCATTAGGAATCTAGCGCCCTCACCCCCCCCCCCCCCCCCCCCCCCCCCCCCCCCCCCCCCCGACATAAAAGGAATCGACATAAAAGAATAGAGGGGAAATGAGGTGAGATTAGATGGTATTACGGTGCCTAAGTGCAGTCAAATTAGAAGGATGGCATGATAGATGAAGATGTGATCTACATAATTAAAACAGGATTGATGAAATAAGGGAGTGGTACAAGCTTGCAAGTTCTATAGAACAATAGAGGACCATCGATGTTATATGGAGTAAATGATGAAGGTCCAACCTATTCACAAAATGAATGTTGAAAAAAATGGAAGTTAAGATGGACGTGTAACCACACGAGATTGGATGATATTATAAATGACCACATCTAGCAAAAGGTGCCAATAGCACATGCTGGGAATAAAATGAGAAAAGGATGTCTAAGATGGTTTGATAACGTCCTACATCGACCCCCTTGTGCCCCATTCATAGGGGTAGTACATTGATAGGGTGATAAAAGAAGAGAGGTAGACTTTAAGACGACATAGAGAGATGTTGTCTCAAAAGACCTACTGTTTCTTAGCATTAGTGCAGACTTAATTATGAACAAAGTGGAATAAGAAATAAAAGATTCATTTGGCTGACTCTAACTAATTTGGGATTAAAGCTTAGTTTCTATTCTTGTCATTGTATGAATTCAAGTCACCAATAAGAGATGAAAACAAAAAATGCCAAAAGGTAAATACAAATATTTAAGAAACCCACCTATCATATTCAATGTTTTCAGTAGGAGATATAGTTAAGCTATTTGCACTTTCCAAAGCCAATAGATAGGCAACTCCAACCTGTCACTTGCAATTGTACAAATTATTACACACAAAATCATGGAACTCCCTAACAAGAAAAAAAAAAAGCATCAAATTCGCTAAAGGAACATGGTTTATTAATACAAGGTGTGAAAATACAACAATGGGAAACTACATAGAAATAAACTCATTAGTATAGGTGGTTTAGCCTAGAAATCTAAAAAGAAACTACAAAATGCACAAAGGATTACAAAAATTCAGCCCCTACACATAGAAAGCTTGTATGACATACACATTAAACACTAACCCAACATCTTAGGCTTATTTTTAAATGGCCCATGGTCAAATTGTATAGATATAAATAGTTTCAAGGTTATCCAATTTTACTCCCAAGAGTATGAAAATCATATCAATAGTGCTCTCACGCAGTAGGTTCATGGGTCCTTGTTATATGTCCTTTAATTAGCCCATGCCTTTCTAATGCAACTCCCATTCACACTTGCCATTCCAAAATTCTCTCCCACAAAAAATCCCAAAAAAAAAATATATTAGGAGGTTTTCTTTTCCTGCATATAGTTCATAAGAAAGTATACTTTCCTTATTTCTCTCGCCCCTTCAAAAGCTTGTTGTAATTTGATTTTACACTAAACTTCTTGTTTTTGTTTCACCAACACTATTAAAACCCTTTCTTCTAATCCCAAACTCAGTGAGAATTCATAAGCTCTATTATTAAACTCATAAATACATTCATGTTCCAATTGCAAAATTTCCAATTGGGTTCCAAACCACTTGATCTGCATTGTTAGAAAACAATAGCGTGGGTTACCAATCACTTGTTGCTAATACTATAAAAACAAAATTGGGTTGCAAAACAACTTATTCCCAATTGAAAAAAGTGACAAAGTACAGGAATTCAGTGATCAATCCCTGCTGATGCCAACAGTAAACAAAGGAATTAGCATCTGCCTCAATAGCATTACAAATAAAAAAAAAAATTCCCTCCAAAACTAGTATGCCTGCATAACCTAATTATAAGCCCATTAAATATAGAACTCCACCATTATGCACTTCTTGATACTATTCATCCATTTGTAATAATCCTACAAATTTTTTTTTTTTTTTTACATACTTCAAGAGAGCGCCATTAGAAACTATCAAATCTGTAATCCTTAACCTCCCTCTTAAGTAGGAAGTTTAGCAACTCCCAATTGACGTTGAAATTCATCTCTTTGCTTTCCTAAGGCAATATTTCGAATATTCTCTATCCTCCGTGCGACCAAATTAGGAATAGAAAAAAAATATATGCACATGAAATAGGCATCAAAAAGTGCTCTAATTAAGAGTGTGCATAAGCCTTTTTATCCAACTTCTTAATTAGAAGACTGAACATCTTAATCTCAATATTTACTTTGAAAGGATGATCCAAATTGGAAATAGGAAGTGAAACAAATTTACACCCGAAACCTGAACCAGATCTTGACAACTACTCTCAAAAGGGTTAAGACAGCTAGAAAGAAGTCTATGAAACAAAAATTCTTAGCTACAGAATCCCATTTATCCACCATTGAAGTTACTCGATTCAATTTAGAGAACCGTTATTTCATTTAACCTATAAAAGTTTGATTTGGGAACATATATGAACAACCATTAGTGTACCTAAGCTTTTAACTAATCAAATGAACTTAATTAGAAAATTGCACTTCAAGGAGTTGTTTTCCCTTTTCTGAGGGAAGCATTTCAAGGAACATTTTATTGAAAAGAGAATTTATAATTATCACAAAAAAATTCTCCAGTGTGCTTTTCTACCAATCCAATTTCTATTTCAATAAAAAGAAAGTCCTCATGAATTAGTACAAAGGCAAGCAATAAGATTACACTTACAGCAGCAGAAGAACTAAGTCCTGAACTGTCAAAACCTTCAGAACCACTAATGTACCCTATGATGCCCTGTAATGATTACAAAAGCAATTATATTAATTCAAATATGCAGAACCTCAGAAGACAGCAAAATAAACCATCTAAAGTTCTTATACTTCTCATTTTAGAAAGCATTATCTAGCTCCAATACAATTTTTATCTAAATTTTGTATAGTGTTTTTTATCTCAAAAGAATTTTGATTTGTAATGCATGTAAGGAATTGACAAATTGTTTTATTATTTGATAATTCCTCCACATTTTTTCTATTTACTTTAAATAACTATTAAGCTTTTTCCAATCATGGTTGATCTTTTATCTGGTGGAAGCTGGCCTCCTAAATCTCACATTTGTTGAGAGAAAAGATATGGCTATCTGATATTTGTGGGGCTTATTGAAAGGATAAGGCTGAGAGAGTTAGCAATTTTGAAGTGTAAAGGAGTCAAACAGGAAATCAGCCATGAATGTTCAAGGTCATTGTTTTTTAGATTTTTGACATAAGATATCTTCTCATAAATAACAATTTCTCTATTGTCATATAAATTGCACACCAGCAAAAAAATAAAAGAGAACAGAAAAGATGGATGATTTTTCTCTAATTAAGAATAGAGATTGCTTCTTGTCTCTAAAAGGGAAATCAAAAGGTTCATGATGTTTTGATCTTAAAATTTGCCAATTATAGCTTGACCTTCAAAGTAACTATATCAAGTGCACCCTCCTTGATTTTATCAAACTAATTCACTGGAATTTATCATACTAATATCCTGTCCTCCTTACTAGATTATGAAGAACCAAATTAGACCAGTTTTATTTTATTGATAAACATGAAATTAAAACAAGAAGAAGATGTGTCACAAGACTTTGCGTTTATAATTTATGTTACTTTGTTTTAATTTATAATTGAAGTAGAAAATTGCAAGTGGACTCAAGGACACCTCGCCATGACATGTACGACCAGCATGACCCCAAATGCAAGGACTAAATGTAGATGGTTACAGTTGATAACATCATGATCAATCAAATGATGGGGCTAAAAAATCAACACAAGCACTACTTGGATATTTTGGACAATTTGGCCAAAAAACAAAGAAACAAAACAAAGGACATAAAAGGGAAAATAAAGGGGGGAAAAAGAGAGAGAAACATTAATTGCTTGCATGCAATTATAAACCTGAAAGAAATAAGATAATTATTAGCCATTGCAAAATCCTTACTATTAGTATTGTCCCAAAGGATGCAACCATAGCAATGGTACTCCAATGGATTAATCTAAAATCACCAACAAAAAAAGTAATAGCATGCCTGAATCAACATAAATGATTAGCTCGAAGAGTTTCTTTCTTGACAATTCAGTCGAATTATCCAAACCTGAGTAATAGAGTTGCCCCTACTCTGCAGTGCATAGACGGCTCCTCTAGCAAAATTTCCCCAGTTACAATCTTCTTGTAGTTTTTGAGAATTGGTTGCGTGGTTCTCATCCTTTTTTCTTATGGGTCTAGGGTATTGAACTTCATCAATTCTGTAAAACCCACTGAATAGTGAGCTCTTTTTTTTTTTAATGGTATAGCTCATTCAAAGGCATTTTATAAAGTACAACACATTGCATATTATAGGCATATACTTAATTACAATCTCTTTTCTTGGTGATCGTCTATTTCTTAATTTCTATTATGGACTATACATATTATGGTCAGAAATTAAGCTTTTCTTTACTCTATTCTGATGCAAAAAAGAATAAGGACTAACTTTGACACTTCCAAAGTTTTTTTATCTTCCAAACACTCTTAATTAAAGTTGTGCCGTAATTTAAGGGTGTGATTCTCTACACATGCATTCTATTATCGCAAATTCCAAAATTCAATTGTAAAACATAATTATTTATCCACCACTCTTTTCCTGCAAAAGGAAGTGGCAAGCATAATCTTTCTTATTTACATTTTTCTAAGTCAATTTCTTATGGCAAGTAGTAACATGGTAAAATTCAAATTTCATGGTGTTAGTTCAAAATGTAGGAAAACTTTTTAGTCAGAGAAGCAAAGAATCTCATAGTAACAAAAAAAAAAAAAAAATAGTTAAAAGCCATAAGTTGTGTTTTGGAGAACACAATCTACAAATCAACTTGATAATACTGAAGTGTGTAGTTTGTATACTTGGATGGTCAATTTATTTCTCAAGGAAAATATGTTCAGCTTGAAAAAATATGATGTATGAGAGAAGGGGAGAAAGAGATAGAGAAGAAGGGAGACATGGAAAAGTAAGTCACAAAACTTGAATCACTGAAACCTATTATAAGAGCATGGCAAATGAAGAAAATATCACAAGAATGATTTTTCTACCTGAACCTAACCTCTCCACCAAATTGTCCTGAACGCAATACAACCTACAACAAGATTTGCTAGTAGCATTAAGCAAAAACAAGAATTAATCTTTTAAAGGAATCATAAAGACAAACATGAAAGATAATTGCAAAGTTTAAATATCAAGATCAACCAAGATTTGCTAGTAGCATTAAGCAAAAACTATAATTATTCTTTAAAAGGAATGATAAAGACAAATATGAAAGATAATTGCAAAGTTTAAATATCAAAACATGAAAGATAATTGCAAAGTTTAAATATCAAGATCAACCAAGATTTGCTAGTAGCATTAAGCAAAAACTATAATTATTCTTTAAAAGGAATGATAAAGACAAATATGAAAGATAATTGCAAAGTTTAAATATCATGATGAAAGCGTGATATTGTTTAGGACTCACTCCTATCAAGAAAGCCTCATACTTTCTAGGGGTTAGAATTGCATAACACAACTCAAGCTTCTTAGCCGATGATATCTCCACAGATCATTCCTCTGATTTAGGAACAGATTACAATTAATTTCCTGTAATTAATCTCTGTAATTCCTTTCCATATTCTGCTTGTATTCTCCCTATTTAAAGGGCCTTATAAAAGGGCCTTATACATACATACAAATTCATCAAGAATTCCAAATCCTCAAACACTTTCCATGGTATCAGAGGCTTCGGTTCTGAAAATTACCCTCCTCTCCTTCTCTCTGTTCATTGATTTTTTAAGCTTGTGCCACCTATTTTGGTTTTGTTTTTCTATTTCTTGTTTTTAGGGGCTTTAGTATAATCATGATTTCATCTCACACTTTCATGTATCAAAGAGCTTCCGGTCTCTGAAAAATTAATCCTCCCTCTCCTTTTCGATAGCTCCTCCAATTAATTTTGAACATTCAATAAGCACCTCACGCTCTTCCATTCAGCCCTCGGCCGATAGCCATGACACCTTTACACAATCACTGTCGACTCACACACATCTCCAACTCAATTCACAAATAAGAACGCCTGCCAGTAACTCTGCTGACGCTAAGAAATCGGTATAAGCCACAAAGCATCAATAATATATCATAAGTACACACCACTCATCTAGATGGGGGTATATGCGAAATTAACATGTCTACAAATACAAGTTTCATTCTAATTCATCATGGTGAAAATGTCATATACTTCGTGTTCTTTCAAGATCGACTTTCATATTCTATGATGACTACGGCGATACCCATCCGTGTTATCTGGATACCCAGCCTCAAAACAATGAGATCGACATAGCATACAGCCGCTCGCTTGGAAAGTAAATACAGCCTCTACAGAGATGCCACCCATTAATGGCGTGTGCGCTTCTAATGGTGAGAAATGTAAATTAACAGATGCGCTATTGTGTCTCAAGTCACGGATGGTCCTGATACTGAACTGCTCACGACCGCAGTCACTCGACCCACTGTGTCTGAGTAAGGCTGAAAGCGGCTAGACTGCTCACACAACATGGCTTGAAAAACTTGAAGAAAACTCCTATACCGCATCCTCGACACTAGAAGCCTACGGCTAGAAAACAGTGGGGCAACCAGGAAAACATGAGAAAATTCGTCATAAAGCGGCAGGCCCTATTGAAACTAAGCAAACAAAGAAAGTTCAGAGAATTACGAGGTCTCCAGCCCCACTTATTTGAAAGGGCAGGCGCACTGGCAAGTTTTTCCGGTTTGATTATGTTCTCTCCTTGCTAAGGCAGCCATGCAATTGTTGAAAGACCCAGTTTGAATCGAATGGCCTGACTCAACTGCGAAACGAATGAAGATTTTGAAAAGACACGCAAATCGCCCCAGTTAGCAAGCAACAATCCTCGATGAACGATGTGTCTTGACCCAAAGGGCACACTGGCGAGTTATGCGATGGAGGACCTTTCTCCCTCAAGATTGGTCTTGAATTGCAGACACACGCTGTCCAAATCAGGTGGCCGCTTTCTTCTTTATTAACACCAACCTCATAAGAATTAACCGAGCAGGCCACCATTAGAGGAAAACGGCGCTCTTCCTGCATACATGATAACACACATTCACTTAAAAAACGCAGATTCGATTGAGGGGTCATACCGTCGCCAGCTTGTCCCACGAACCTGCAGCACGTAAGTCTATTGAAAAAACTGAAATACCACGAGGCGTCATTGCTTGTCCCGTCCCAGGCTGCAAAGTCGCCCCACCAAGCCCAACACAGCAGAACCAACCAATCTGTCCCTCAATACGGGGCATGTCGGCTCCCGCCACAACTCAACCACCAAGCAGCAACCAAACTGACCAAACGCAAACAGAATCCCAGGGCCACTCCAAAAAAAAAAACAAAAAACAAAAAGGCGTTCTTACCACTGAAAAAGCCTAAGTGCCACAGATTACCTTACGAGAAAGCCCACGCTAGGGCGTATTCGTGTACAACGCACAATGACGCTATGTAGGCCAAATGTAATAGAGGGGCCAGGCGTGGTGCGCGGGCTAAGCACAGGAAGCATGGAAGAAAAGCTGGCTGCGGGCGCAGGGACCTGGACGCCGGCTCTGGGTTACAGGCTGAGTAAAACAGCGGCATCCAGTGCGGGTGCGACGGCGCAATGTTCCCATATACCTGGAGCCCTATCAAACGACCAAATGTGGCAGTTCCCGCTTCGGTGGACAATCAAAACACTCGACCTACCACCACTCTCAAAAATGGGGTCCCTACCCTTGGTGGA